CTCGCGCGAATACACGAGTCATATTCTAGTTATGTTAATTAACAACTCCCTAATTGACCTTGTCTCAGATTCTTTATTATAAAAAGACCACTGCTTAGTGGTAATGCTGAATTTGACACGTTCAATAATAACTCTGTTCATGTCTTTATGGTGGGTGTAAATGTAGTAGAATCCAATGAGAAAACACAGATATTAGAATCAACATGAAGTATTTAAGACACATTTAAAACACTTCCATTAATACAAATGTAGCACTGCTACAAGCAACCCCTGTTGCAAGAAGAACATATTACACAATCATATGCTGATGAGTTAAACCCTCTCACCCCAGTCTACCCAAGTACTCACGAAACCTTATACACCAGATTCGTATTCAACAACAGTTTTTAATCTACCCAAAAGAAACAGATAACACTCAACATTAAATCACTCACTCGTTCTTGAGTTTTTCAAAGAGTAACCTCACTCACTCTCTCTGGTTTTTCTTTTGCTTTTTGCGTCAAAGAAGAACACCCTTTTAAAACGTATAAACTCCTCTCTTATATTGGTTTTTTAATTACCAATATAATAAGAGGAGACTTGCTTCGGACCGGCAGTCCATTTACTGTATTGTAACCGAGAACACTGTTTCACCTATCTTATCACTTCGTGCACAGCGTTTCTCTCATGCCTTTTGCCTTTTGGGAAACGTCTCTTCCTTGTTTGTTGAACCAACTATCTGCACCATCTCTCCCACTTGCGTTCCCATGGCTCGAAAAACTCATTGACATTCACACGTGTGATGTTGACTTCACACGTGTGACACTGACTTCAGCTTTTCTTGTCTCTTGTGTAATACAGGAATTCTCACACCTTCTTTGATCCTTAGTTGCCATCTTTAATGCATCTACAGTGGAAAACATTTGATGTGATTCAAGAAAATGTACAAAACAAGAAAATTATAAAGTCTCTGCGTGGTTTCACATGTTAAAAAACGAATGATTTGGATCTTGTCTGTGTGATATCCTTATAAAGCTGTCTGAAAAACTGTTTACTTTAAAATCACACGTTTTTCTACAATAAACAATGCAAATGATGGAACAAAAGTATAAGTAAGGAGTTTTAAAGTCTCCGTGTGCATTCACATGTTAAAATCGATGTATAGAAAGATCTTGTCTGTACTATAATTTGGAAACGCTCATGCATTTTTAAATTTTGAAAACTGCAAGAAAACATTCAAATTTTGACCATCAATTCAGTTGACAATTGGTTAGAAACAACTGTTTTCGAGGCAATCCCCTTGTTTTCTCATGGTGATCATTGATTTAAGAATATAATGTACTAGTACGAGTAAAGCGTTCCCTTGTCAATGATTTAAGTCGCATGTCATTAGTCACAATTATAACAGTGTACTAATACAAATGGGTTAATTAGGTAGATAACCCAAAAAAAAAAATATATTTTAAAATCTAACAAAATACCCTTATGTGGCTAATTCCCACCCGTTAGATTTAGGGCATTTTGTTAGATTTTAAAATATATATTTTTTTTGAGTTATCTACCAAATTGACCCAATACAAATTAAGCATTCTCATAGCAAAGCTTTTCTTAAAAAACAAAATCTTTATTTTTATAAATGATCGATAGTCATTACATCGATTGATACAAAATACATAGATAACAAATGGACTC